ATGCAGTTCAGTGTCAGGAGGGCTGTGATCAGTCTTACATCGGGGAAACTAAACAGCCACTGGCCAAAAGGATGGCCCAGCACAGAAGATCAACATCATCAGGCCAGGATTCTGCGGTCTACACTCATCTCCAGGCCAGCGGTCACTCTTTCAAGGATGAAGATGTTCACATCCTGGACAGAGAGGAACGATGGTTTGAGAGAGGAGTAAAGGAGGCCATCTTTGTGAAAAGAAATCGTCCATCATTAAACAGGGGTGGAGGCCTCCGGGTTCAACTGTCCCCCTCTTACAATGCTGTGATTGCTAGTATTACTCAGCCCTCTGTGAGTAGTAAGCAGCCATCAGTGTGCTAATGACCCATTGTTAGGCTGATGGTCCTTCTTGAGCATGTGATCAGCTGGTTTTGGTTGTCAGCAGCAAACTGGTTGATCCACTCTAAGAAGGTGCTATTAATAAGACTGAGCTGAAAACAGCACCTCAGACTGAGGAAGTCTCTTGGATGAGAGACGAAACGTTTCTAGATTTTTTTTTTGCTTTGTTTTGCTTTTGTTTTTTTGAATGTCCAGAAGACCAGATTGAACTTTTTTGGATTTTTCTACCTGGATTATTGAGCATGCATCAGGATACTATGACTGTGTTCTCCAACATTTTTCTGGCCAGTCTGAAAAAAGATGTGGCTAGATTTTGTAAGATGCGCAGTGTATGCCAAATTGCTGATAAACCCAACCAAACTGTACCACGTGTACCTCTCAAACCAATTCCAGTCTGACATCCAGAGCCTCTGAGATTTCAGCTTTTGTTACCTCAGATCATTTTTTTGCAGTATAGTGTGATGGCCTTTGGAATGTGCAATGCACTGGCCACCTTTCAGCAACTAATGAGCTCTGTGTTGGGAGACATACCAAACTGTAACGTCTACTTGGATGATGTTGTAGTGTATTCAACATGTTGGGTTGACCACATTAATACATTAAATACTGTGTTTACTCAATTAGCCCTGGCCTCTTTGACCCTGAATTTGGCAAAGTGTGACTTTGGAAAGGCTGTTGTGACATAAGTGGGTAAACAAGTTGGGCATGGACAAGTGTTTCCCGTTATCGCAAAGGTGGAAGCAGTTCTGAGCTACCCTGTGCCCACGACCAGACGTGAACTTAGGCAGTTCCTAGGATTGGTTGGCTATTATAGATGTTTCTGCCAAAACTTCTCTGTGGTGGTCGCTCCACTAACCCATTTGTATAGTCCAAAGGCGCCTTTCCTATGGACCTCAGAACATCATCACGCCTTTGAATGTGTAAAATCACTTTTTTGCAGAGCTCCTGTACTGGCAGCCTAATGAGTTCAATAGACCCTTCAAACTGGAGGTAGATGCAATTGCTACTGGGGCTGGAGCAGTGCTCTTACAAGATGGACATGACATCAGTCACACAGTGTCCTACTTTTCATTTAAGTTCAAACAGCATCAACTTAACTATTCCACAATAGAGAAAGGGGCCTTGGCAATGCTCCTTGCAATACAACATTTTGAAGTTTATGTTGGTTCCAGTGCAGAGCCAATTGTTTATACAGATCGCAATCCTTAGGCATTTCTAAACCGTATGTATAACCACAACTATAGATTGATGTGCTGGGCCCTGCTGTCTCAACAATACAATCTTGACATTAGACACAAGAAAGGTGTAGATAATGTTGTGGCTGATGCACTGTCTAGAATGTAATTTGATACATTATTTTGTGAAATGCTGGAGATTGTTTTGGTGGCAGGATTATTCTTATGGGGAGGGTGTTACATCCATTGATTTCTAGGGGTTCTCTTACTAAAGGACAACCTTTCTCCTCCTTTGCTGGTTTACAGGCCTGCTGTCACAACATGCTGTTTCACCATGCTGCACACCTGGAATCACTTCCTCCTCATCAGTGGACTGCATAAAAGCTTCAGTGATCCAGCACCACACCCCCTTTCTCCTTGGGCATTTCCTCTTGTTTCTGAGCAGTGTAGTGTGGTTGACTTTGAACTCTGTGCAAAGCATTTTAGCAACTCTGTTGATTTTTGTTAACTTTTGTGAACAGTTCTATTTAAGTATCCTGATGCATGCACAATAATCCAAGTAGAAAAATCTAAAAAAGTTAAATCTGGTCCTCTGGACCAGTTCTATTTAAGAAACATTTTGTTTAGATGGGAAGTTTGGTAGGGGTTCTCTGACATTTTATTTTTAACTAACTTTTCTCCTATTTGGTGACCAGCCAGGGAGCCTAGGAATTGTAGTTTTAGTTTTGTTAGATAAGAGGTGATTTTGTTTTCTAGCCAGAAGGGGCATTCTTCTGTTTGTCATTTTGGCCTTGGAGACTCTGACGTTCATGGCTTCCTCTCCTGTCCTCTTACATGATTAAATTACTGTAATGCCAAGTTGGGTTGTTTTTGAGTTATTAGCTTTATGTTTAGTTTACAATTTTTGTGTTACACCTTGCACCTCCTAGACTTATTCCAAGGGTTGTAACAGCATATTAGTGCTGCAGAGTCCACCAAGCACTGAAACTTCCCCTCAAAGAATGGCTTACTGTTTTAGCAATTCTGTGGGATATAACAAAGCTTGTCTCGGTTGCTGCATCCCTGGATGTGTGAAGCTTGGCAAAAAAGCCTTGCTGCTAGCACAAAGCTAGCAAAGCTTCAGATACCTGTGCCCTTTCAGCATCAGTCAAGTTTTTGTATTTCTGTGTGTTTTGTCTCGTAATGTCGACTCAAATTGTAATCCTTAAACACAGCGATCTGCTCTCCACAAACAAAACACACAGTTCTACCTCAGACTTCAGTAAATAAATATTTAGCAGTCCATTTTTTGTTTAAATCCCTGCACTCTGCATCTATATTAAAGGTTGAATGAATCTACATTTTATTTTTTAGCACAAGTGATCATTTTTGGGGCTAACATCGTCTTGTGAACTGCTCGTAACAACAATTCAATCATGTGCATTGCGGATGTCTTGATTTACGTATTGAGTCATTTTGTACGTGAATAAAAAAAATTCAAAATAAAAGCAATGCAGCTTTAGGCCACACATGAAGCAAAATTAAAAAATATGTTAATTTTGTAATTCCCCTAGCACGGTGGCGCAACTAGTAGAGCTGCTGCCTCTCAGCGAGCAGGTCCTTGGGTCAAACCCCGGTCCAGGGGCCTTTCTGGGTGGAGTTTGCATGTTCTCTCCGTGCACGCGTGGGTTTTCTCCGGGTGCTCCGGTTTCCTCCCACAGACCAAAAACATGCATGTTAGGCTGATTGGTAACTCTAAATTGGCCCTAGGTGTGAATGAGAGAGTGAATGGTTGTTTGCCTCTATGTGGCCCTGTGATGGACTTGCGACCCGTCCAGGGTGTACCCCGCCCCTCGCACAGTGATTGCTGGACATGGGCACCAGCGACCCCCGTGACCCAAAATGGAATAAGCGGGTAAAGATAATGGATGGATGGATGGATGTAATTCCCCTTATGGGGGCCAGTCAAAGTCAACCAAAGGGCTGCATGTGACCCTTGGGCCATACAATGCCCAGGTTTGCTGTATTCATTCATTCCAGGCTCTGATCGAGGCGGCAGCTTCAATTTCTCCTCCCCCGTTTTTTTTTCTTCTTCCTGCTCTGCTCTCTGTCTGTCTGAAGCGCCTGGGTCTCATCTCCCGAACATAAATTAAGAAGATTATAAACTTGGTATCGTGGGCGTTCAACTTTATTGATAAGACTTTTTCATCAAAGCGACAAGGTCCTGGGGAATCGGCATGTCCAGCTGAGACTCACGCTGTGGGGTACGTCATGGATTCGTGGGGAGTGTGGCAATCGATGTGCATTACAGTACTGTCTCAAGAAGATGTTGAAAATGTTTACATATTTGGACTTATGATAGCAGGGACTCTGCTTTTTGGCATTGGCGGGGCTCTGTTTTATCGACTTTTGAAGAAGACAGTTGGAGCAGTTTTGGCCATGGAAAAGCTTCCGAGTCAGTGTGAAGGCTTGGTCCTTGCTGTGGGAACTTTTAAATCGTTTGGTCTACGAGCTTAACGGTAAGGTGGAGGTAATTGAGAGTCGCAGACCACCTGCGGCTTCTGGGACTCGTCAGCGTGGTGGGTTCGACCTTGAAGGAGACACATAGCATGGATCAGTGAAATTAAATTCCACAATTAGGCTTTTTCGGAACCAGAACGCCCAGATGGACTCAAGGCTGAAGAAAAAATCTGTCTGCCTGAAGAAAAACAAATATTAAGCTTATCTAATCTGACTCCCAATGGCCTCGGAGACAGGCTGACTATCAAATTTCTCCTGGGACATGAATACCCAAGGACTAAAGCTTCATCCTGGATAGAGAGATGGTTTGAGAGAGGAGTAAAGGAGGCCATCTTTGTGAAAAGAAATCATCCATCATTAAACAGGGGTGGAGGCCTCCATGTTCAACTGTTCCCCTCTTACAATGCTGTTATTGCTAGTATCACTCAGTCCCCTGTGAATAGTGAATAGCCATCAGGGTTCTAATGATCCATCATTAGGCTGATGGCCCTTCTTGATCATGTGAGCAGCTGGTTTTGGTTGTCAGCAGCAAACTGGTTGATCCACTACGAGAAGGTGCTATTAATAAGACTGAGTTGAATTCAGCACCTCAGACTGAGGAAGTCTTTCGGATGAAAGACTAAACGTTTCTACATTTATTAATTTTTTTGTTTTTTTTTGAATATCCAGAGGACCAGATTTAACTTTTTTAGATTTTTCTACCTGGATTATTGAGCATGCATCAGGATATACAAAATTACGTTTCTCTTTTATTTTTCTGTATAGATTATTTATGTATGTGTGACTGATCTGGTGTGGGAGGGTGATTTGTTCTGTGTTCTTTTGTTTTGTTTCGTTTGTGTTCTTGAAAAAAAAGGCAGAGACTTAATAACAAGACTTTCTTTAAAAAAATACCCAGTTGCTCATGAAATATTTTGCTAACAAACAACAAAGGCTTCATTCTGAGACCACCAACCTGTTTGGTCATCTGCCACACACAGTCGATGAACTGAACAAAGACGGGAGATCTGTCCTGATCTGCGTGGTTCTTATCCCCATGACCTATCCTCTGAACACACACACACACACACACACACACACACACACACACACACACACACACACACACACACACACACACACACACACACACACACACAGCATTAGATGTCAGTGGTCAGCTGTCTGTGTGTTGAGGATGGAGGTGAATCTTACGGAGGAGAACTTGTGTCCAAAGCTGATCCATTCCTTCTCAATCAGCACCTGAAAGCAGAATTGGAACCGTGAGCCATCAATCTGGGTCAGACTCCCCAGGCTCTGTGGACACACTCACCTGGAACCCTCGGAGGGTTCTGTAGTGGCTGTCCAGCATCAGCATGGCAAGGGACGTGAGCTGGGCGGTACGGTCCCAGCCGTCACTGCAGTGGACCACCACAGAGTTCCCATTAGAGACCTTATCTGCTACCTGGATGGCCCCGGTCAAAACCAGCTGCACACAGATGTTTACATCTTTACACAAGAAGAAGAAAGCCCAGGTGGACCCAGTGTACAGAGCTGGTTTCTCTTACTTTGACATGTTCCAACCAGTGTGTGGACTCCAGACTGGACAGCCAGTGGGACTCCTCCACGTGAGGGTAGACAATGTCTTTGAGCTTCTTCAGGGACTCCCTCATTACGTGGATGTTCTGGATGTCCAGGAACACCAGCTCTGCGTTCTGGTACTCATCGCCCTCATAGCCCCCTCCAGTGGCCTGTAGTTTGTAAACACAAACATCTTTGATCAAGCAACCACACACACCCAGCGGTGGGTTTGCGCACACCCAGCTGTTGGTCTACGCGGTAAAAAAGAGTGAGTTCTATTTCATTGTGGGGCTTGCCCTTTAAGTCACGCCCACTTGTGGGTGTAACCCCGCGAGCCAATACTGAAAAAACTAGTCCACGCTCACCAAGTGTGTGGGCCCCACCTCTGTCTGGACCCATCGTTCTACTCCCCATTTTATTCAGCCAGCGACGCAACACTTGGAAAGGAAAAGAAAAAGAAAACCAAGAACAGAAAAAGATGTTAGCGGACAGGATATGTCCGCTGCTCCAAACGGCGCAGTCTGCCAACTGCCTCAGGGCAGAACACGCAGGTATGCTCTCATCTTTTTTTCTTTCAGAGCTAGGCAGGTCTCAAGACGTTTCTGCCTTTCATTTAAGGAGTTAGCGAGTAGCCTCACTCTCCCCCTCTCGGTTAGAGGGCTGGAGACAGGACTGTTGACGACGGGTTGTTTTTCTCCCTTCCAGCAATCGGCATGCTTGTTTGTGTTCAGCCCGGCATATTTAGGAGTGTCAAACGCTAACCCTAGCTGTGCTGGAACCAGCCCCGGCCTAGAATCGGCGGGGCATTTAGCTGTCTCGCTCTCTAGTCGCCAGAACTCAGTTTGACCTCGTGTCTAGCATGTCGATATAATGTCGGGTGCAACTTCCCAACCATTAAGATGAAAAACACTTGTTCATCCTCTAGAGCAAGCCTGTCGGCTGCTTTTTTCTGGGGTCAGAACGGCTCGGCATGCCGAGTGACAGCCGCCCCCTCTCTTTTTTCTCCCAATGACCAGCTCTCAGCTAGATTCACTGACGGTTTTCAGTGCACATTTCAGGTAAACATAGCAGCCTCATAGGGCTGTATACCGAACTGAGGTTCTTTTATAGCACCGACCGAACTGTGTCGGTCGGTGTATGGATTGAAACGTCACTCTTTTATCGGTGTCAAGTTTCAGTATTGGCTGTAACGTGTCACGTGGTTTCAGCACGCCGGCAGGTAAAACATAGACATATAGCAAACAGACTACGTGCTTACACCCAGAGCTGTATGTCTATAGTGCTGGTTACGCCCACAGACGGGGTTCACGTGTGCAGCACTTGTGTTGTCGAATGGCTTCAATTTATGAGAAAGTTTCTCCGTGTTTTTCTGCAAGGAGAGAGAAGAACAGCAGCCTCCCCCCATCCCCCCTCCTCCTCCTCTCAGTGTGAAAGTCAGCCATGTGTGTTGAACGGCTTGATTCATTATCTCCACGATCGGACTCCTCTTCATCAAAGAACTCCGAGGACAGAGCTGTGTCTGGGATTTCAGCTGGTAAATTTAAGTTTGTTAATGTTACTTCAGCTCAGTCCTTCTCAAATAGTGGGGGGCGCCCCCCTGGGGGGGCCCGGGGCAATGCCAGGGGGGGGCACATGTGACCCTAGAAAACATGCTTATTTTGCTACAGGGAGTAGGGTCCCCCCCACCACCACCATTTTCATTTTGTTGCGTGCGTTCCTAATAATAAAGTTATGAACAAATATGGCTGCCTTGTTGTTTTGGGAGCCATGCATGAACTGTGTTGCTCCCCTCTGCTGCTGACACGATAAATAAACTCCTACCATCTGTAACCTCCTCCGTCCTCCGCTGCTGTTTTTATGTCCATGCGCTCTGGACTGGACGTCACTCACAGCTCGCATGCAACAAAGAGTAAACTGAAAGCGACAGCGACACCTGCCTCCTCTTTCCTCCTTTGCGTTGACAACATGTTTTAGTTTAATCGATGAGTTTGTCAAAGCACAATTTATAAAAGTAATGCTTATTAAATGTTAGGACTCTATTCTTTGCTAACAAAATTAATTCACCTCCTCAGTTAAGCTGCTGTTCTATTTCGTATAGGCTTCGCCCTTTAAGGCTGTCGCTGATAGGTTTATCCCGATATGCGAAGCATTGCACTGAAAAATTTAGTCCACGCCCACCTGCTGTGTGAGCCCCACCCGGTCCGTATAAATTACGTTAAGAGCAGGTAATCGGCTCCCATTTTTTCTTCAGCGAGCTAATAGCACTGTCAGAAGAACGAAGAAGGAAAGTTGTGTAGATGACCAACCTTTGTTAAGAATGCTTGGTCCGTCACGTCGACCTCCGGTCGTCCCGATGAGCTCTCCTCCCCGAGGAGAAGCTGACGAGCAGTCTCGTTTCAAGGTAAGCTCCGAGGAGTATTTCTCAGTGACAGGTCGCTACACGCTGGACAACGCCATCTTGCAATTTTCTTCTTATCATCGACCCTTGGAGCGAATCGGATGGTTCCTATGGGACAGGCCACGTCAACTGCAGCCCCCCGCTGCTCATTCCTTCCTGGAGAGCGTAGTTTTGGTGGAGGGAGGCTGAGCGAATGCTCACCTCATCCTACCTCGTTTCGCATCGGCGATCACACTGCTCCCGGCCGACGGCACCCTCTGGGGTTGCCCGGCGTAATCCAGGAGCTGCTGGCATGAAGAGACCCTTTTTTACATCCCACGCCTTTCCCGCCAGTTCGGATGACCAGGCGGGAAGGTTTTTTTTTTTTTCTAGGCTCCATTCCGGCTCACCGTCCTGATCCATCTGGCTTCGGTTTCCCAACAAGACGTCCTACGGGACGAGGCCACAGCCAGCTTTCCTGGTAGATTGGGGGGCCGGTCTCCACGGTCCACGCCCATCTCCAGAGCAGGGGTTCACCGAGTGGAAATTCCCTCAGTGCCCCCTGGAGCCGAGCCTGACGGAGGCTTCATTGGAGCAAGATGTCCAGGTGGACCAGCGTCCCGCGCCTCCAGTTAGCGTAATCCAGATGGTGACACCGCTCTCCAACTGAGCTCACCAGCATGCGTTCCAGACGGCCGTAGCGAACAGCACGTTACGCTGTTGGCGTACACGTTCAGAGGTGGGAAGAGACATACGCTCCCTCTGCAGGGCAGCTGACGTCATCCCCAACCGGTGCGCCTCTTTTGCTGTCTGCCGGCCCACATCGCAGCCGGAGAACGAGGTCCCAGAGGTTCTCTTGGCTCATCACTCCACCTTCCTCTCAGTGGAGCGGCATAAGCTTTTTGTTGGAGGGCCTTCATCAGTGAGAGATCATTTCAAGATGCTCCACGGCTGCACAATGCCTCCCCAGCTCTGCTACGCCAGTCCCTCCCGTCAGACGTCCCTGGCATCTGGAAGTTCAACTTTTTCCGAACTCTGCCAACAGGGGGGCTTCTAGGACAACAAACCACTGAGCTCAGGGGAAGATAACCAGGTGTCCGATTGCTGGATGTGTGTAGATGACACGATGTAGAAATAAACATCATTTTATGATGAAGTGTCTTTTAGCCAGGCTGGCAGCACGGATGATCTGACAGCGGCCTTATCACACACACTGACCACGAATGAGCCTTTTAAGGTCGTTTCATTCACTGCCAGTGGTGCCAACACGCGCTCCCGCGGCACAAGCAGCCTTCACCTATAAGGCGCTGTGTTATGAAAGCGTGCACGCAGCTCTCAGCACCCGCCATTCACGTCCTCGTAAACGTGAGACCGCGGTACGAGCCCAGTAACGTATCTCGCTCTTGGCAGGAGCGACACGCGTTTTCACAGGAGTGGTGTCAAACGCGCGCTCCCACGGCATCAACAGTTTCACAAGCCTCACAGCGGCTCCGCTCCTTCATCCTCGAAGGTTTTCTGAATTAATACTGCAGCTCGTGGAATCACTCAAAAGCTCACGTGATTCGCAGCCAAGAATGAACGTGTTCTGCAGAACGAGCCCAGTGGTAACCTCGCCCCACCGATGCCACGCGCTGCTTCCTGACCGCACTAGCGTCAAACGCGCGCTCCCGTGGCAATCCTCGTTTAAGACGTCGCATGAATGAGGGCGCGCACTCACGACTCTTCAGGGCACGTCGGCTCATACGTGCACCCGCTCCCGGAGCGTTTAAACGGAGCAGCGGCACACAATGTGAGCACAGCACAGATGAGCTGCGCCCCGCAGCATCAGCAAATGCACAAACGATTTGCATGCTCGGGGGCGCATGTTTTTTTTCTTTCTTCTTCAGCGTGCACCAGCTCACATCAGCATGCATGTGAGTCAACAGCATAAACGCGTGCCCGCTTTATAACTTTATAAACGAGTGGCAATCAGCGCGCGCTCCAGACGGATAGGCGAACCGTTTTCATCAGGGGATTCACGCTGCAGTACAGCTCAAACCCCGGTGCGGAGGAACTCTAATAACGTTTTCTGTCATTTCTAGAACAGATCTCGTCCCCTCTCGCAGAAGCTCAGGAAATTCTGATTAAAATGTAATTTCCAGAGTCTCAGAAAAAGAGGAAAACACAGGGTTCCTCTCTCGTCACTCCCTGGTCCCAATGAACCAGAAAGATGAGATTTATTCTAGATTTGTCAATTTTGAACTGTGAGAAACAACTTCCATTAATGTGCCCGAGCCGCTCTGCAGCCGCCGCACAGAGCAGGGAGGAGAATTCTGCTTTATCTGGACATCTGCTGCTGCTGAACAGTTTGTACAGACAGGTGGCAGCAGCACAACTCACGTGAAACTGGTTGAGTGATATCAGCTGTTTTTCCATCAGCAGACCTACGTCACACATGTCAGACTTCACAGAGGCACACACATTTAATGAGCTGTGGGGGCGCTGTGGTTCTCCACACAGCAACTCATTTAAATGTTTTTGGAGTGTCGCACGGGGTTTTTGAATGTGATTCAACACTTTGCCTCTGTGTTGCGGAATCATCAGGGTTTTTTGATTCACACACAGTAAGTGACTGTTGCATAAATAACTGGCAGGAGATGTATGCGCTCAACCCATGTGCCACATTGTGGGACAGATGCTGTGTGAGACACACCCAATCTGCTCTCCATTGGAGTAGGGTACATCTTCTGTGTTCTGAACAGGGGACAGATGTGATGTCCCAAGACGGTCCTTTGCAGCACAGGGACCGGGGAC